ATGGAAAAATATTGATTGAATTTCCGCAAAATTTACAAGAAATTATCCAACACTAAATGACCTATCTATCCATCCATCCATCCGTCAGTCCATTCTCTTGGACTTATCCAATTCAGGATCACTGGAGCGTATTCCAGCTATTATAGGGCGAGAGACGGAACACCCTGAACAAGCCGCCAGCACTTAAGCAGTATTTATACTCCAAAATACCCCAAATTTAGGCTGCACTTTAGTATCACAGCTGGACTACTTAAATTTAACCATTAAAATGACTCAATATGTACTTATTTCTTCCTTGTTGTAAAAGACATGACATAATCCGTTATCTGCTTATACAGATACGCTAATCTTAGTATCTGCATAAGCACAGACATTTAACACATTATATTTATACAGTCCGTTTTGCATTTTATACCATGTTCTGCTCTCTGTATGTGTAAAAAACACAGTTATTTGCGGTTTAAGGTTCTTGGGCAACTTCATATATTTATATCTTTGTTGTGAGTTGCTTGGACTCTGAGCTTGTTTTACTGTCTTTTTTTGCATGTTCGCATAGCTCTATGAGGAAGTGAGGAAGTCACTAGAGCAGTGTGACATCCAGGAAGATATTGAACACTTTGTAAACCTCAGACAGACTGGTGATAAACCACCAGGTAGGACTCAACGACAGCACTGTATTTAAAGAGCTTCTTATCTAACAGCACAGTCTCATGAGTTACCAAAATGTCACCAATTTCCATCTTCCTCTCTAACAGTTCCGGTTGTGTATGAGAACTTCTATAGTGGTCAGAGATCTCCAACTGGAGCACCATCCTTTCGAATGCCTCCACCAGTCAACAGGTATGAAAGAGAAGGATTCCAGCAAAGGGTGCCGCCTGCCTCCTAACAGCATGGGAAATAATTCTGTGATCCTCTGCTGAATTTGTTTGCTCACTTAAAATTTGTGGTAGTAACTTTAATGGAGAGAGACACATTATCAACAGGCAAACATGACTTAGTGGAGACGTTTCTTGTAGTTGGTCATCACTCTCTAAATCTAAATCTAAAGCAGCTCAAAGCTTCAGCTTCCTCCAAAGATTTTCTGTAGGATTGAGGTGGTTACCTCTTTATGGCCTTAAGTTTATGGTCACTGTCACGCTGGAATCCATCCACAGCCTTCAGTGTTCTGGCTGAGGGAAGGAGGTTCTTGTCCAAGGTTTTTCGGTACATGGTCGCATTCATTGGCTCCTCAATGAGGTGAAGTCATTGTGTACCCTAAGCAGGAAAACAGCCTCAAAGCATGTTTCTACATCAGTGCTTGACTGTGGGGATGGTGTTCCCTGGGTCATTTCTCCCCAAGCCATCTCTGAATCATTTAGATGTTCACCGGGACAGGCCTCTACATGCGTCTTCTCCAACAGGGAGACTTTGCACTGTAAGATCTCAATCATTACAGCGTAGTGTGTAACTAGTGGTTTTCTTGGTGATTGCCTTCAGATCGTTAACAAGCTTCTCCCACGTAGTTTTGGGCCGATCCACCACCTTGCTCGTCATCATCCTCACCCCATGAGGCAAGATCTTGGATGGAGTTTCAGAGCGAGGGCGACTCACTAAGCTGCTTGCTGTTGGTCTTGTAGCCCATTCCAGCCTTGTGCAGGTCTACAGTCTTGTCCCTGATGTCCTTTGGCAGATCTTTGGTCTTGGTCATGGTGGTGGGGAGATTGGAATGGAATAAAACTGATTCTCATAAGTAGTTGAGATCAGGATTATCTGTAGTTGACTGATTAGTTGGTTGCTTGGTTGTAATCTGTATGCCACATTGACACACAGTGGGGGGGTTTGGCTTTTTGGTTGATATTCTGCATCTCTCCATAAAAATGAGAAACTTTTCATTTCTTTGGAAGTGAGCAAACATACAAATTCAGCAGGGGATCAAATAATTATCTCTCTCACGCTGAAACCTGTTTTTCTACATGTGCAGAGCATTGTTGGGACACCTCTGATTCTTTGCTTTTTTTACTCATATTCACTTTGCAGGAGGGGACCATTACCTCTGCCAACACAGAACAGTAATGGTATGTTTGCTTTATTTGTATTTAAATACAGTGCACTATCAAAGTAGACTACCAACCCTCAAAATTATCTACTGTCCAGAGACCCCAAAGGTCCCAGGTTCACTCATCATGTGAGCCTATGTACATTGATTTGTTTCAGTTACTGAAAGTACTCCAAGCTCCAGTCAACAAATATTTAATATAAAATTATCGAATGTTGTTCTTTTTGTGTGATCACAGCCAAACTTAAATTTAGAGCATACGGTCACAGAAATTGGAGTCCAAGCAAGCATTCAGAAATTGTTAAACAGTTTTCCAAACTGTTGCCAGTTGTACTGAGTTCCTGGGGAAATAATGAAAATTGCACCATCAGTCATTTTTACAAGCATAATATATATATTTTTTTAAATAGTTAAAAGCCCAATGAAAGGTCTTGTTTTATTAAGCACACAGTCGGTTGTCTCGACAACATCTACATTCCTAAAAATTGAGGCCTGCATAGTGAATCTTTAGGGTTTTTGTTTTGGAATACCTAAATGTGGTCACATTGTGGGCACAGTTTACCTGCTGCAGTGTTCATCGGGCAGCACAACAGCTTCACAGGCCACAGCTTTTACATCAAAGTGCCAAACCAGCCAGTTAAGACATCTGCTTTAGTGTGGCGTAAATGTAGGGCCAAGCCTGCATTCCAGTCACATTTTACTTTGAGTAGAGCATGCTCAGTCAGCACTGAAATTAGAACTTTGACCTTGTGTTGTTGTGTAGCTTCCACACAGAAAACTGTAGGTCATAATAACCAGGAAATCATACTGGTATCTTCCAAACATGTTCTATTTGCATTTTATGTATTTGTGAATGTTTGAAACTGAATATTTGTGTATTTCCTTTGATCCATGCTTCTGCTTTTTACACTTAAACGTTAAATGTTTTTTAATGTTTGCTTTTATTGCAGATGATTCGCACTACTCAACAGTGGAGGACGCAGGCTACAGTGTTATCCAGTACTAGCACACATATCTGCAGGAGGCATTACTGCACACACTGTGGACTGTTCTTTGTGTCAAACCTCAGGGTTACTTTGTACTTCTCCTCACTTCCTCTTTTATGATTTCCTGTAAAAAGAAGGTCATACCAAAGAGGAAAACGTGTGTCATAAATGCACATAGAGTTTTAGGTTTAAGTAATAGTGAACATTTTATTTTGGAGTACTTGATTCTGTTTTTAAAAGTAGAACAGACTTAAATGGTGATGCTTTTGCAGTACGTTAGTGATAAACATCTACAGCTGTATTGTCGAATTCCTGTATTAATGTAGGGGCTCATTGTGCTGACAGACAGCCTTTTAATGTGTTGGTGTCACGCAAGGTTCTTTCTTCTACATGACTGCGTCACATTTTACTTTTAGTTATTTAAAAAAAAATAGTCTATTCATATTTCAAACACAATAAGATCCTGTGTAATCTAGGTTTCATTTCCCCTTGAGTATGAAAGTGTCACGTCAGCTGACAGGTATACGAGAAAGCCTCATGCACACATAGTAGACACACCCTAGTCAAGTGCAACCTGCACCCAACACTTTTTCAGACAAGGGTTAAAGGTTTTATGCTCTGAACCAACATTCCTGTTATTAAAATGTGTGTGATGATGATTTATAAAATATTTCTGAATATTGGAGGAGGATTGTAATAGTTTCACTGTGTTTTTTTTTTCTTCTTCTGCCCATATTAACGACTTTTTGTAGCAAAAAGTAAATAGATAGCATTTGATTCTGCTGTTGGTTTTTGTTAAAGACATTGTTCTTCACTGCACTTCTTGAGACATTTTTATTCATTAAACAGTGTTTTTACAATACTGTACAAAAATCTTCAGACACCCCTCATTCCTTTACATTTAATAAGTGCAACAATTTATTTAAACGTGTGCAAACAAACATGGAAATAAAGCGTACAATTCTAATGAGTTTGAAAGCCAATAGTACGATCGCATTTATTCAACAAGCCTGAACTCTTTTAGTCAAAATTGCTTCTAGTTTCTTTAAGTAGTCTACAGGAACAGTTCTCCAGGCTTCTTGAAGGACATTCAAAGCTCTTCTTCAAATGTTCACTGCCTTTTCTTCTGTTCTCTCTCAGGATGATCCCACACTGCTTCAGTAATGTTGAGATACAGGCTCTGGGGAGGCCAATCTATGACTGTTAGTGGGCATTTTTATGTCCAGGCATGCTTTCACTTCAGTGGCAGTGTGTTTAGGATCACGTGGTTGTGTTTGTCATGCTAAGAGATGAAGCTATTGCTGTCACACTCTTTATGTAGTATTGCGTTATTTATTGAAATCTGACTGTACTTTTCTACATTTTTAATCCTGTCAATTTTTGCATTTTTTTTTTAACAATGGTTAAAAGATGCAGCTCCAACGATGACAGACCCTCAACTGTGATATACAGGTGGTTGTAGCCACCTCTCTCATCTTGATTCCAGTTTTTGTGCAGTTTGGCACACCTCAGCCTTTTCTCCCCATTCCCTTCCTTAAGAAGGACTTCTTGACAGCCACCAAGACCATTCCTGATGGGGCTTTGGCAAACAGTAGATAAATCATCTGAAGATCCCTCTCGTCTCCTGTGTCAGCTCTTTGGATCTTGTCATATTCTAAGGACATGACTCTCAGATACTGTTAATCTGCTGTAGATAGTTTTTATACCTGCAACTGCTTTTGTCCTCCTCTGTACAGTTTTCTATATATGCCAAGTTTTCAGCAAATAGCTCTTTGGGTTCAAAAACACTATTTTATGCCTGTTACCGGTAATCTGTGTTTTCTTTGGCATTTTTTGTAGATTCGACTACAGAAATGAGAGGTGGCTCAAGGCTTTTCCACAGCACTGTAAATTGAGGCTCTTTCTGATCCCTGTGTTTATACAGGTTGTATGTTAGCTATAATATTTTCCCATGATCATCATCCATGACAAAATAACCATTTCAAATATAAAACAAATCAGCTTTATTTTATTTGTGGTCTTGTTTGCTTTTTTTTTCCGTACATTTCAACATGACTTTATGCATCTCAAATTGTACAGTCCTCCTCAATGTGAGTAAAGAGTTCCTGGGAAGGGTCACTTCCTCTGTCCACTGGCTGCTACGCATCGTAACGGTGTTTATTCTGCATGGTGGAGTGGGGTTCAGATCCTCAGTTGCTTTGTTGTTACGCAGCATACTCTGACTTGATCAGATCCAGAATTATCCGGATTGTCGCCTCACCTACATCAAGAACACTGAGTTAGATCTGTCTGTATGTAGCTTAGCTAAGCGATTAAACAATTAAATGTTTCCAGAGCAGCTTGGGCACAATTTTAGTCACTGCTAGTTTAATTCCATTTCCACACAGCAATATGTGAAGAAAACTCAAATGAAAAGACAAAATTCAACAATACACTTGTCTGTATCTCAGTATAACGACTCATTTCCTATGTACTATGTACATTATGTGGTGACAAAGACATTTTTTGGTGATAGAATGTGTCGGTTTACCCTCCAAATTCATCCTCGGGTTCTCCAGCTTCCTTTCAAGCAAAGAGTCCATCAACCTTCTCAAGTGTTTGAAGATCACACCGATCCGCACAGGAGCCTTTTAACGAGAGCGACACAAAGAGAACTTAATTCTGCAGCACTTTTCAGTAACACAGTTTAGATCTGCTGATCTAAACTGCTGAAAACTGCTGGGAAACAACAAACTGAGGCAACAGTTCACACAATCTCACCAAAATTAGACAAAAGCTTGCAACAGCAGAAATTGAGAACAGACGGGCAGCATTTTTCTATTTCTACTTTTGCAGATGGTAGGGTCAAAATTTGGTGCGAACAACACCAAAGCATGGTGGTGATGTGATGGTGTGGAGGATATTTTGTACCATCAGTGTACCATCTTCTGTTGAACATACCATGTCACAAAACTCAAATCATCAAACTGGTTTCTTGAACATGACAATGAGTTCACTCTACTCAAATTGCCTCAAATGGAAGCTATATTAAACTAATCCTAAAGTAATCCCCGTGACCTCTGACCTGGAAATGAATCCATCCATCCAAGGTGATGAGCCTCTCTCTGTGCTGAACATCAATGTCGCCTCCAAACAGCAGCATGGGGAAAGGAGAAATCAGAGTGGTGTCTCGAAGGTAGATCTTGGTGTATTTCACCTGCGGATAAAAAATACGAACATGTTTTTAAACACAAGTGTGAATCACTGATAAGGCCTTCGCACACGCGTGCACACACACACACACTCTTCATCCATACCTTCTCCTGGTACAGCAGCCAGCCGTGCGTCTGCAGGTTGCGGTTAACAGAGGAAAAGTGGACCTGAGCCTTGCCCTGAGGCGTCTCCACTGTGCAGGCCACACGCTCAAGCACGTCCACAGAAGGGGTACATAAAACCCGGGCCACGTTGTCATAGAGTCCAGCAGTCAGCACAGCATTCAGGACAGAGATCTGCTGCTTGGACATAGAGGCCGCCTGCGGCTTTAAGCTGGATGAGGACGAGGAGCGAGACGACCAGAAACCCACCTGCTCCATCATCTTCATCAGCTCGCGCTTCACATCCTGCAGGGAAGATGGAGTCAGCGACATGGAATTAGATGGAAGAAGAAAAACTAATCCTAATAAAAAATGAAGTAATGAACGTGCAGTGGACTCGAATCTTTACCTCTATTGTAATGAGAGCCGTTCGATTAAGAAAATGTTTCCTACAGTAGGACATTTCTCCTCTCGAGCCGTCAGTCTGTGAGTTCTTCCACCTGAAAGTATGATGATGGACACAAGTAAGTAACAAATAGCCTTCCTGAATGTCCTGACTTTTATCGTAATGGGCCTCCTGGCTTCTTTTCAGGCTGCTCTTTTAATAGATGTAGAATGTCTCCTGATGACTCACAACCACAAAGAAATCTAAAATAATGCATATCTAATGTTACTGTCAAAGAAAGGAAATGATTCCCGAACATTTCCTCTAATAAAATTATTAAACCCACGCCTTTTTAAAATCTTCAGACTGGTTCGTACCCCAGGTATGCGTTGTAGATGGTCAGGTGATCGGAGTTGGCTATTGCCAGTGCAGCTTTGGCCAGGTTCGCTTCTTCTTTTCTATTCATTGGTGTGAAGAAAGGAGACTTCTCTGTGATGGCTGCCGCGATGATTGCCTGAAACAAGTCTCTAGTTAATATTAGTTGGAAGATATGAAACAAAACAGTTCAGCCTGACACATACGGGATCACTACAGGTGATCCCGTATGTGTCATATCCCGTATAAGTCACTTGAAAATGCTACGTCCAGATGAACAGAATCACCTTTTGGAGATTTATTTACCTGGATGATTGAAAATGCATTAAGACGTTTTAAAACAGTTCAACAAAACAAGATGTTATCCTCACATGCTTGGAACCAACCACACAGCACAGTTAGACTTACTATGGGCTCCAGGCAGCCCAGGATGGCTCCGTAGATGAGCATCTTGCCGATCTTCACGTTAACCGGCAGGCTCGCCAAATGGTGTCCAAGAGGGGTGAGGATGTGATCATCAGGGTGACACGCTCCGATCTTCCTCAGCAGGTTTACAGCATTGCTGACCGACTGGGGCTGAGGAGCATCCAGGGCGCGGCTCAGAAAGTCCTCCGGGGAGCCGTACTGACATTTCTACCAGACAGGAGGAAGAGGAGTCAAGCGATTTCCCTGTGTGGGAATTTTTGTTTCTGTGTGAATCAGAACGGTGTAGATACCATGATATGGAGACAAAGCTCCTCAAGTGGGACCCGCAGAATCTCTGGAATGGAGTAATCCATGAAGATATCAAACCTAAATTTAGGAGGGTGTTTAAAAAAAAAAGAAAAAAAAAAGAGCACAACAAATTAGCACATGACCTAAAACTGGAAAGGTTTTGCTTACTGTCTTTTCTGCTGACTGCATTCTTGATAAGATGATATAAGGAAGTATTTCTTGCTTTCTGGACTTGGTTCCATCCAGCTCTCTGCATTAGTGGACGATGAGCTTCATACCTGTATTTTGGATAGAGCCTGAAGCAGAAGCCATTTCTGACACGTCCTGCTCTTCCCTGCCTCTGGAGGGCGCTGGCTTTGGAAATAAACGTTTCCACCAGGGAACTCATCTGGCTGCTCTCGTGATACCTGAAAGACGACGACAGAGTGGAGTTAGTTATGTCTATGCATGTAACACACAAGCAGGTACTTATTATTCATGTTTGGGTCATCTTTTCCTAAAAATTCCTAAATGACATGATACAATAAAATCTGGTTGAGAGATTTGGGGTAATTTTTTTGTTTATTATCTAGTGCCACGTGGTCAAAAACTGTCCAATATCTTTATTGTCATCCCACTAATAAAAAGACAACCAAACTCCAACAACGTTGGGACTCTGTGTAAAATTTAAATAAAAAACAGAATTCAAGGATCTGCAAATCTCATATTTGACCGTATAAAAGATTTCAAATGTTGGTACATTTCTCCAATTTAAACATTTGTTTTCTCTGTTCTATTGTGAATAAAATTGCGGATTTATGAGATTTGTAAATCATTGCATTCTTTTTTGTGATTTTTTTACATTTTGCACAACTTTCCAACTTTTGTGGACTTGAACATACTGGACAAGATCCATTTCTGTTGCTGTTCTTGAGGTCTTACTTATTTTCTTTGGTCTTCCCAGTGTCGATGACGAACACAACATCAGGAATCGTCACACCTGTCTCGGCAATGTTAGTCGACAACACTATCTAAAAGTGACACAAAGCAGAGACAGGATTTTTGTTCTGTTTAACACATGGAAGGATCAGTTATGATGTGAAATACAATTCACATAATACAGTGGGGCAAAAAAGTATTTAGTCAGCCACCGATTGTGCAAGTTCCCCCACTTAAAATGATGACAGAGGTCAGTAATTTGCACCAGAGGTACACTTCAACTGTGAGAGACAGAATGTGAAAAAAAAATCCATGAATTCACATGGTAGGATTTGTAAAGAATTTATTCGTAAATCAGGGTTGAAAATAAGTATTTGGTCACCTCAAACAAGGAAAATCTCTGGCTCTCACAGACCTGTAACATCTTCTGTAAGAAGCTTTTCTGTCCCCACTCGTTACCTGTATGAATGGCACCTGTTTGAACTCATCATCTGTATAAAAGACACCTGTCCACAGCCTCAAACAGTCAGACTCCAAACTCCGCCATGGCCAAGACCAAAGAGCTTTCGAAGGACACCAGGAAAAGGATTGTAGACCTGCACCAGACTGGGAAGAGTGAATCTACAATAGGCAAGCAGCTTGGTGTGAAAAACCAACTGTGGGAGCAATCATCAGAAAATGGAAGACATACAAGACCACCGATAATCTCCCTCGATCTGGGGCTCCACGCAAGATCTCATCCCGTGGGGTCAAAATGATCATGAGAACGGTGAGTAAAGATCCCAGAACCACACGGGGGGACCTGGTGAATGACCTGCAGAGAGCTGGGACCAAAGTAACAAAGGTCACCATCAGTAACACACTACAACGGCAGGGAATCAAATCCCGCAGTGCCAGACGTGTTCCGCTGCTGAAGCCAGTGCATGTCCAGGCCCGTCTGAAGTTTGCCAGAGAGCACATGGATGATACAGCAGAGGATTGGGAGAATGTCATGTGGTCAGATGACACCAAAGTAGAACTTTTTGGTATAAACTCAACTCGTCGTGTTTGGAGGAAGAAGAATACTGAGTTGCATCCCAAGAACACCATACCTACTGTGAAGCATGGGGGTGGAAACATCATGCTATGGGGCTGTTTTTCTGCCAAGGGGACAGGACGACTGATCCGTGTTAAGGACAGAATGAATGGGGCCATGTATCGTGAGATTTTGAGCCAAAACCTCCTTCCATCAGTGAGAACTTTGAAGATGAAACGAGGCTGGGTCTTCCAACATGACAATGATCCAAAACACACCGGCCGGGCAACAAAGGAGTGGCTCCGTAAGAAGCATTTGAAAGTCCTGGAGTGGCCTAGCCAGTCTCCAGACCTCAACCCCATAGAAAATCTGTGGCGGGAGTTGAAAGTCCGTGTTGCTCGGCGACAGCCCCAAAACATCACTGCTCTCGAGAAGATCTGCATGGAGGAATGGGCCAAAATACCAGCTACTGTGTGTGCAAACCTGGTAAAGACCTATAGTAAACGTTTGACCTCTGTTATTGCCAACAAAGGTTATGTTTCAAAGTATTGAGTTGTATTTTTGTTATTGACCAAATACTTATTTTCCACCCTGATTTACGAATAAATTCTTTACAAATCCTACCATGTGGATTCATGGATTTATTTTTCACATTCTGTCTCTCACAGTTGAAGTGTACCTCTGGTGCAAATTACTGACCTCTGTCATCATTTTAAGTGGGGGAACTTGCACAATCGGTGGCTGACTAAATACTTTTTTGCCCCACTGTATTTCCTTGACTGTTTTTATGATTGTAGAACATTTTGAAGTACCTTTCTAACCCCACTAGGGGGCACTGTAAAGGCAGCGGCCTGATCCTTCGATGAGAGGGTCGAGTGTAGAGCAACAATCCGGTACCTTCAAGACAGACAAACGTGACAGTGAGGCAGGGGGAAGTTTGTGTCACCACTTCTTTTAGATTACTGATCAGTGCGTGCACGCCACCTGGTTTTATCCCGAAACCTCTTGTCTGAGGACAGCAGGTCGAACAGCTGCTGGATATGAGCCAAACCTGGCAGGAACACGAGAATGGCTCCATCCACATCCACAAACTGTGGAGCTTTGTCTGGCAGCGGCACCAACAGAAAAACAGGACAAAGTTTTAAAAAACAAACCAAACCCCGGATATTTCATATTTAATATAGAGAACATGAATGAATCTGTGACAAATGCTGCCAGTTTGTGTACCTAGGTAGTCTATGAGGTCAACAAGCAAGTCCATGTTGACCTTATTAGGGTTCATATACTGCAGCACATGTCGGGTCCTGCTGCTGAAGTGGTCGAGGTCAGGACCCAGGTCCCAGCCCGAGGACGAGTCCCTCACTATCACTTCCTGGAACAACGGGGCGCACATTGATGAGCTCATACTTAGGAATAATTTACAGGACAGTGACAGTCCACTCTTGTTTCAGAGTCCTGGTGAGGCATAAAAGGACAAGACAAAATGGTAAGGATAGCCAACATTACCTGGTGCTGCAAAGTCTTGCCACCTTTTTGTGTGACAGAGATTGTCACTTCCTCTTCTTCTTCAAGAATTTTCTGGCTGTACTCTGAGTCCTTTTCTAAGACGTATCCCGTCTGCTCCACTATGTCCTCCAAATGAAACACCTGAAGGAATAAACAAAGACACACACATTGTTGAAAACGTTTAAGCTTCTTGGCCTTATCCTTGCTCCCTACTTTCATTCATGGTGGCCAGAAACACATACAGGTCATCCCTGATATTCAGCGTCATTTGCAGTTCTATCATTTTGGGCTTTCTACGAAGGATGGCTAGCCTCTCCCTTAGATTTAGGGTGAGGAGTTCACTCATTCAAGAGTAAAACCGCTACTCGTTAACATTGAAAGGAGCAAGTTGAGGTAGTTCAGGCATCTGATTAGGATGAGATGTTCCGGGAATGTTCTAGCAGGAGGATGCTCCGGGGGTAGACCCAGGACACGTTAATTAATTCGGTGTTTATCTGGGGACCCGGACACAGATAAGTGGAAGAAAATGGATGGATAATTTTATTTAGAGTCGCCTCATTCCCAGTAACCCTGGATTTGGAGCAGCGCCTCAATTAATCGTCAGTAGCAAGCCAATTTAGCTCCTCCTCCCTTAAGTTATCTTTTTTCCAATTGGCTCCCCCTTGTAAACAAACGTTTTAGAGCAGCGGGTGAGTGGGACTGAAATGGTAAGGATATCCACTCTCGCTGACATTAAACGGAGACAAGAGTAGAAAAAAATCTTTGAAAGCCTCAAGATTTACAGCAACTAAAAGTTTAGAGATACTCTGGTCATGCCTAAGGTCAGAAATGACAGACAGCAGAATAACAGGAAGGATAGGCTAACAAGACAACTTCATAACTTACGGACTTAAAAAAGAAAAGTCCTCCAGTGCTTATACCCCTGGAGTCCACGGTTGGATGCTGAATGAAAACAAACTGGTAAAGCTTGTCTTACCTCCACTGGGAAGGTCCTGCCAGGAATGCTGATCACTGGGCAGCGGTTGAAGTAGTTGGAGAACTTGTCACAATCCACCGTGGCACTCATGAGGATCAGCTGCAGATCAGATCTCTTCATCACAACATCCTTTAGGATGGTTAGCAGGAAGTCTGACTGGACACTGCGCTCATGGACCTGAGAGGATGGAGTTTAATATGCTGAATTAGAAGAAGAAGAAGGAGGATGAGAAGAAATGCATCCATAGCTGTAAGTAAGTACCTCGTCTACGATGATGTGAGTGAGAGAGGTGAGGTGCCGGTCGTGCTGTAGCTTCCTCAGCAGAACTCCAGTGGTACAGTACAGCAGGCGCGTCCAGTCTCCGGACTGATTCTCCATCCGGATCTGGTACCCGCACAATGACGACTAAATTCAAGATGAAACGGGGTCAGTACGGCAGGCTACGGTGTGATAAACATGTAGAAAAAAAGAAAAAAATAAGCATTTTCACCTTTGACCCTGGTCCATCCTCACAGCCTAGCTCCTGGCTGACTCTGCACGCCAGACTCATGGCAGATATTCTGCGTGGCTGAGTCACCACGATGTTGCAGGGCTGTGCCGCTGTTCCCCCGGTCAACAGGTCCTCCAGGAGGAACTGAGGAATCTGAGTGCTCTTCCCACTACCAGTCTCGCCGGCCACCACCACCACAGGGTGGCGCTGCAAAGCCTCAAGGACTCGATGTCGGTGCTGAAAGACGGGAAGCTGCTCTCGCTCTGCCTTGAAGGTGGGACGCACGTTTAATAACACGGCTTCATTCAGTGCAAACGTGGAGAAGTTAAAGCGTATTTACCTGCAGTTTGCGGGCGAGCGGTGACTTCTTCAGCTTTAATAAGAGCTCTCTGGCTGCCTCCAGATCAGCTACCTCCCTCCTCCCACCTCTTTTCTCACTCTTGTCCTCCTGCTCTTGTCTTTTCTCCCCGATATCGAGACCGGCCAAATTCTCCCATGATTCTTCTGGCTCTTCATCACCATCTGCGCTCGATGCATGCTTACCTTGGGACTGAGACTCCTGCCGTTGGCTCTGGTTCTGCTGCTGTTTGAGTCTGGTCAGCAGGCGGGAGATGAACTGGTCTCGAGGTTTGTTGGCAGCAGTGCGGCTCTCCTCCTCTTGCTGCTGCTCGCTGTCTCTCCACTCCAGCCACACATCTCTGTAGGTTGGAGGAAGCAGCTGGTGCACCGACTTTGTGAGAGAATAACAGGGGAGAGAATTCACTGCGCGCACATAAGACGAATAAAACAAAGCCAAAATGTAGCAGGCCAAACCCCTAAAACTACTGGATCATGTACGCTGTGACTGCTACCTGTCCTTTAACCAGGTTGTAGAGTGCCAGAGTGGCTCCCAGATGTTGAGCTTGCATGCTGTCCTCTGTCAGGATGGTGGGACAAACTTCCAGAACATCATCTGGCCTCTGAACACGCACTCTGGGGCAAAGACATCACTTGGAATACGTGAAACAGCCAAGTACGTGAACCAAAAACCAGAAGCACGGAGACACACTCACTTGCATCTCCAGTATCTGCCGCAAGCAACCTTGTGAAAAGCAGGCGGCGGGCTTTTTGGCAGGTTCTTTCGGACCCAGTCAATAAGGAACTGTTTGGGAGACTTTCCGGTCCAGCTGCGAGCCGTGTAGTCAAAGTTGCGGATGTCCTTGGGCTCATTCTTCTTCACAACTGCAAGAAAGAAAAGTAAGAAAAGGTCAGATTCTCAAAGGGATCTTACAGTGCACATTTTAATGCTTGTCCTTATTTACAGTAAATCAGCTGATGCGTTCATTAAACGCACTGGATGCTGATTAAACGTGGCAACAATGACTTCTTTCAGACTGCAGATGAAATGATCAGTTGCACTAAGGTCCAGTATAAGATAAAGAAGGATTATTATGAACCATCAATCCTGCAAAGCCACACTATTAGCACATAAGTGAAAAAAAGTAAACTGAGCATAATAGGTCCCCTTTGAATAACGTGTAAAAAATGTTTCCTCTTCTGTGCACCTTTGTGAACAACATAAACATCCTACACGTTTCTACCTTACACAAATGAAGGACATTTTCCCTCAACGTCTTTGACCACCTGTGCAGATTATTACGATTCACCCAAACCATGAGCAGAGATCATCATTGAGGACAAACTCACATTTACATGTTACGGTATTCAGTTTTGTGAATGGATTTTTTTAAATCCATAAAGCATGCTTTTGCAGTTGCACACAATTTCCTGAACTGTGACATTCCCTAAAGCTAATATACAATGCATAAAACACGCACAGCCTCTATTATGTGTCAGTTTGGCTCACAAAGTGTACCCGTGTACCTTTCTCAGCCGGCGGGTCCTTCTCAGCTTGTTCAAATAAACTAAAGCCGAGCTCTTCTTTGTCCTCCTTCGCAGGAAGTATTTTCTTTTCTTTTTGAGGGGCGTCCACCACTTTTATGGCTGGATTGAACATAGGGTGGGACTCCAGCTGCTTCATTTCTAGAAAATAAAAACACCGTGTTCAATTTTAAAAAAACAACTTAAATATCCCCACAGGAAATAGTATACACTCACAGGCCACTTCATTAGGGACACCTGTTCAACTGCTTTCTTAACACAAACATGTCATCAGCCAATCACATGGCAGTAATTCAAACATGGTCAAAACACCTTCCTGGAGTTCAAAGCGAGCATGTTGGTACCATCTGATCATTCAGATTGCTCATGTGCACAACCATCTTCAGGGCTTACAGAGAATGATCTGAAAAACTGAAAGGATCCAGTGAGAAGCAGGCCTCTGGGTGAAAATGCCATGTTGATGCCAAAGGTCAGAGGTCAGTGTAGAATGGCCAGAAACTGCTCTGTGCTGATAGAAAGACAAGAGTACCTCAAACAGACACTTGTTACAACCAAGGTATGCAGAAGATCATCTGGGAAAGCACGAAATGTCAAACTTTGAAGCAGATGGACTACAGCAGTGGAAGACCACACCAGATTCCACTCCTGTCACCTAATTATCACCCAGCCTAATAAGTCTTGACTTCTTCTGCTACATTCGGATGGTAGGCTCAGAAGTTGGAGTAAACAGCATAAAAGCATGGATCCATCCTGCCTTGTGTCAGTGATTCAGGCTGGTGATGGTAATAGCGTGGGGATAATTCCTTGCCACACTTTGAGCCCTGTGGTACCATTTAAGCATCATTTAAACACCACATGTTGTCCATCCCTTTATGACCACAGTGTGCCCATCTTGTGATGGAAGCTTCCTGCAGCAACTGTGTGATGCTGTCATATCAATATGGATAAAATGTCTGGGGAATATTTCCAGCACCTGGCTGAATATATGCCACGAAGAAGGCAGCTCTGGATGCAAAAGGGGTCCAACCTGATACAAGCAAACTGTACCTAATGAAGTGGCCTGTGAGTGTATGTAAACGCTTTCTTTTGCAAAATGAGTTTACAGCTTTGTCTTAGTTTTATGTACACGCACACACACCTTGCTGTATGATGCGTATCCTGTCCTGTGCCATCCTCTGCCCCGCCTTGTCTGCTTTGGTCTTGGCAGCAGCTGCCATTTCTTTAGCGTCAAACAGCTGAACAGTCAGTATCAAATACCTGTCATTCTACACAGCAAAAAAGAATACAGACATATTAATGAAAAATCAACTTCCTAAATGACATTTACTTCAAAAGACGATCACATTTTTAACATCATACAAAGGCTGGTAAGAAAATCTCATAGCCTTAGTTTAACATTTTGGAATATGTGTCTGTTTTCTCTTATAATTGTAAATGAAGAGAATCTCAGAATTCAGTGGCTCTGATTGTACTTACTGGATCAAACTTCTCTTCCAGTTCAGGATTGCATGTCTTCTTCCCACCTTCCTCTTCCTCCTCTTCACTGCTTTGTTCTGCATACCTTAAGATCCAATCCTTCATGCTGGCAGCTTCATCCTTCTCTGTGGCCTGCCAAGCACCACACACACACACTTAGAAACTATTTGACAGAACACCTCCTTTTCGTCGAACACACCCTCTCTGTACAAACCTTGGTGATCTCTCTGCGGGTGGTGTTGTTTGACACTTTAGGGTCCTGAGCTGCAGGTTTCTGCTGGACTGGAGGCTGAAATCGAGGCCGGTTCTTCTGACTCTCCTCCTGCATCTGCTGGCTAAAACCATCTGGCAGCTCCTCTAGCAAAACAGATCATAAATCCAGAAAGTTACTCTTCTACCTTTAAGGACTCCCACGATGATGATGACGATAATGATGTTTGGATGCCTGCTGATGCCGTATTACCATCTTTAAGGTTGAGGCAGAGCCAGTCGAGAGCAGAATGGAGATCTCCTCCGTACAGGATGCTACTCTTCATCGCCTCTTCAATGTGCTCCCTTTTAAAGTTAAACTTCTGTAGAGCTGTGTACAGGTCCTGAAAGCACATCAGGAGAAAAACAGCAGGGATGCAAAACACTAAAACTCAGTGTGAGTCAGCTGGAAGGAACCAAAGTGTTTTGTATTTACCAGCAACTTCTTGCTTGTAAGTCTTCCTGATATGGGCCCCTTGTCGCCATTCTCCTGTCTGAACTCATTGATCAATTTGATAATCTTCTTCTCCAGGTCAGCTTGGATAGCAACCTTTATTGAAAGGTAAAAATCACACCCAGTGTTATAATAATACAAGTTGTTTTTTTAAACGTGAAAGCTACTTGACACAATATAATAAGCTTTTTGACTTACTTTAAGAATGGACTTATCGGAGACCCCACCAGTGTCCACCTGGGCGGTGTTGGTAAGACTGTAGGTCTTCGGAGCTGGAGTGAGGACAGACAGAGCAACAAACAGACACCACTGCGTCAGACTTCAAGTTAATCCACTATTCACGTTTAAAATAAATAAATAAATCATGTCATTGATTTACTAACAGGTTTATTGTTTTACAGGTTGGAAAATATCCCCCAAAATACCCTGAAAACACTGTTTCATCCTCCAATATGTTTGTTACCTATCAGTTACCTTATCCAAGATAATATTGATTTAATTTTTTGGCATAGCCCCCAGACCCTATCGTTTTACAGCATACCTCACGTTATCTAAAAAAAAACCACAAAAACCACAAAAACAAAAACGGTAACTTGAACCTCAAGAGAATTAAAAAAAACTATATTTTTATATTATTAATTACAGTAAAACTTGTGGTCTTACAGGTCAAGTTTTTTATTTTTATTTATTTATTTATTTTACATATTTACCTCAAGAAAAGGGAAAAAAAAAAACTTTTTTCAAAAGTTTTTTTCTTCTTTTTTGGACAATTTGGAGCAGCTGCAGGAGTGTCTGTAAAAGCACATTTTGAAGAAAGTGGAGCTCGGCCCTTTACCTGCGAAGCTGATGGGGCAGGTCAGGTTTCTTTTGTTTTGTTAAGTTTTGTTTTATTGTGCCCACCATGGTACATTTCATCCTGAGAAGTTCTTGTTCAAGATCAGAGATGGTAAAGAAACTGTCATAGGTGATACTGTGTCCCCGCAGTTCAGTAGTCAAATCAAGGACTAGATGTTTTCCTTTGTTTTTTTAACCACTCGCCGGTTTGCCTTTCGAAATCCTCCAGTCATCTTTGATTCCATGCACAGCTGGTTTTTGCATCCCTCACATTAAGTCGTATTTACCTGACTTGCTGGATGTATTGCCAGAAGGAGTATAAGTTGGAAAACGTTCATCTTACGTCACCTCTGGCCCTGGTCTGAGCATCAGACAAAGGAGCTGCACCCATCTCACCCAGACATCCCTGATGGGAGCAAGCTTGTCAGCATCCTAAAGACTATCAGCAGTCTCATTGCAGGATCTCAACACTTCAACAAGAACACCAGTGCAGGCATCCAGTTATTCCTCATCACTGCCATTCTAAATGTCACCATGGACTTCTTTTTCATTCAAGATCAGATGCATCTTTGTCCTCCTGTTGATAATCTATACTGTCCTCCTTCTATGAGGGTCATCCATATTGCTGTGCTGCAAACCGGAGATGTGTATTCTGCCAGGAACCGACTAAACTGAGTTGTTCTGTACACATCTGTCCATTTCCATCCGGGTGACTGTGTCCGGGAAGCAGTGGGGATAAAGGGGGCTGTTTGTTCAGGGAAGGAGACAAACAGTTAAAGAGAGAAGCCCCTAACTTCTCTCTGACTGTGTTAGTGAGCTCACAGTGTGTTTATGATTTCCGTTTTGGCACTAATTATTGTTTTATTGTCTTATATTATAACTGGGTTGAAACAGACCCCAACAACACAAAGGTCATAATTTTCGCCAGAGCTTTTTGTAATTTAGTGAAATTAAATTTTCTTTTGTTTTGTTTAAACAGAGATTCCGACAAAGTCAAAAAGGCTTCATGTAATAAGCCAATTTAAAAGGCACTTTTATGCTTTTAAAATCTAAAAATGGATCAGTGTTGATCCCAACCCAAGAGGAAGGTAGAGTGCTTGATGATTTAGTGGACCGCCTCTATGTGATTAAGAGACTGAAATAATGCTGTGCATGATTCTAATCTTATGTGTTTTGCCACAAATGGTTCTTTAACTTCATTTGGAAACAGCATATTCCATGAATATTAATTACAAGGCACTACATGCATGACATTATGATTGGGAGCTGAGCCCCCCTAAAAGTTTGAACCTAGAATCGCCCCTGTTGATGTTAAGAAAAGTAAATCCAGTAATAGTACAGGAAAATATGTGTGATTAACCCATGTCATGCTCCATATTTCTGCCTGCTAAATTCATACTAAAATCTTATTAATTGGAGTGAAAATACAGTGCAAACGCCTTAACCGTGGAGTGAAATGTTCACGCTGTGAGTGATTTTCACCTTTAGATTTGCTGTCTTTAGCCGGCTTGCTGGTGGCTGCCTGTTTCCTCGGCTCCTCGACCACTCCATTCCCCGGTGCGGCTGGAGCACTTGCTTGCGGTGGCGATTTCTTCTTCTTCCCCCCCATTAGGTCATCCAAACGCTGCCCGCTTTTGAGTCCTTTATGTGCCTGAGTGATGGGAAGACATCGGCGAATTGCCGGACAGATGTAAAGATATCAAATCAAGAGCGAACCTGAGAAAACGTTTTCTCCCCTTTTGCCCCGCACAGTTGCCGTAGCGGAAGTATTACCCGAAAACAACCTCGTGCTGTATTGTGGGACGTGTGCCCCTAACAAACATGGCTGACACCTTTGGAGACGGTTTGTTCAGCGTGTTTGACGATGAACAACAAAATACCACAAATAAAAAAGTACCGTCGAGTGTGGCGGCAGAACCGGGGTAAATATGTATTTTCTGGAGAAAAATTTTGTGTTTGTTTTGGAAAGTTTTTTTCTCCGCGAGGACGGTAGTGCCATGGGTGCTCGTGCCAGTCATAGTAACAGCCATTGGTTCGTTAAAGAAACACCGGACAAAAAAAAGGCTTATTGGGCTTAAAGTTAACAATATTATGGCATATATAACTCTGAGCCCATTTCTCTTGAACACGAGTTTGTAGCTAAGTGAATTGGTGAATCGTGCATGTTGGCTAACAGCTCGTGTGTTTCTGCTCTCTATAGGAAAGCTGCAGCCAAAAATGAAACAGACAGAGATGTCGGTCCGTCTGCCCGAGTCAAGAGAGAGGCAGACAGTGATGGTGGAGAGGAAGTGGTGTTTGTGAAGAAACCTCGACATGAGGCAGTTTCGGCGAATGAACTGAAGTAAGAAGGGAAGCTTTGTTGTGTTCATGCAGGGTGTTAGTGGACACAGTTATTAAAATGCTCAGCAGCATAAAAAAAGTGATGTAAAACCAGCTTCATATTATTAGAAATATTTAAATTATCCCTGCTTGTGAATGTTTATCCACGCATTTATCATCGAGCAGCTTATCCCAGGTCTCATAGCATGAGATTAGATTAGATTAGATAGAACTTTATTAATCCCTCGGGTGGGTTCCTCTGGGAAATTCGATTTCCAAAAAAGCACAGCACTGACAGAAGTTACAGAGTTACAGAATATTATATATATATATATATATATATATATATATATATACACACACACACACACACGCGCACACATATATATATAAATACAGAGACAAATATAAATAAAATATACGAAGGAAATAAATAGGAATAAAAAATAAAAATACAAGTGAATTGCACATTTCAAGTATTGAGGTCTATTGCACTGTTGACTATTTACAAAAGTATTGCACAGTGAGGTGAAGAGGCACTACAGCTTAGTTGTTCCCCCCTCCTTTGTCCTCCTGTTTCCCCTCCCTCTCCCCTCCAGAGAGGAGTTAAACAGTCTGATGGCGTGTGGGACAAAGGAGTTTTTAAGTCTGTTAGTTCTTGTCTTTGGGAGAAGCAACCTGTCACTGAACAGACTCTTCTGGTTGTTAATGGCCGTGTGCAGAGGATGCCTGGCATTGTTCATAATGTCCATCAGTTTCTTTAGTGTCCTTTTCTCTGCCACTGTCACCAGAGTGTCCAGCTTCATGCCGACCACAGAGCTAGCCCTCCTGATCAGTTTTTCCAGCCTGGATGAGTCCTTCTTTGCTGTGCTGCTCCCCCAGCACACCACAGCATAGAAAAGTACTCCAGCAACCACCGACTGGTAAAACATCCTCAGGAGCTTCCTGCAGATGTTAAAAGACCTCAGCCTCCTGAGGAAGTACAGTCGGCTTTGGGCTTTTTTATACAGGTGCTCTGTGTTGCATGACCAGTCCAGTTTATTGTCAACCCACAGCCCGAGGTACTTGTACTTGTAGACCACCTCCACCTCCTCCCCCTCTATCTGAACCGGCAGTGGACCTGCTCTAGACCTCCCGAAGTCCACAACCAGTTCCTTAGTCTTTGAGGTGTTGAGTTGCAGGTGGTTTGTGTGACTCCATGCGACAAAGTTCCTCACCAGACTTCTGTACTCCTCTTCCTGATCATCCCAGATACACCCCATGATGGCTGTGTCGTCTGCAAACTTCTGAATGTGGCATAATTCAGAGTTGTAGCAGAAGTCAGAGGTGTACAGGGTGAAGAGATGTGGGTTACCCCTTGCACATATCACCAGTCTATCACAGGGCTTACATATGATTGTCATATTCTAATTAGAAATATAGGAGGTGTCATCATCAAAATGTTATTTCAGATGTTCTCTGAGAAGGTCTCCTCTACACCAATGAAGTGAAAATGTGAAGGAAAGAGAATGCAACCTGCAACTGGATAAAATGTCATCCTCTTCCTCCTCACCTGCGCTCCGAAGAGCGCGCTCTAACACATGAAAATGTGCATAATTATGCTTATTATTCCTGATATCATCACAGTTATTGTCAGCATATTAGACATAGAACCTTCCTGTCTCCGGACAGCTGACAGGACCCAGCTAAACAACAAGAGCTGGTTATAAGCTCACATTATGCCAGTTAATGTCAGGCTTGAGTGTCGTTTTCCACACGAATCACACTTTCCCTCTGATAAACATTTTGATTATGTGAGTTCATTCACATCAGAGTTTGTTCTATTTCTTCTTTCTTTTTTCAGTCTTGCAGAATTTATGCCTCAGGTGAAGGTGGAGCAAGTGGAAACAGTGGAAGGATGTTCACATGAGGTAAAGAAAATCTGTTGTTTTTTGTTTGGTTTTTTAAGAATTGTATTCATTTTTAAATAAACAAGCAGAAAAAATAGTGATGATAACTGTTGCCATTTCTGTACTTCCCTGACAGGTTGCTCTTCCTGCCAGTGAGGAATATAAACCTCTGAAACCACGAGTGGGAAAAGCAGCCAAGGTATAAGGGGCCTTAGTCTGAGTTTTCACAAACTGACATTACCGTGGGATTGCTTTCCTTTTGTTCTGATACATCTTACTCGTCTTGCAGGAGTACCCTTTCGTTCTCGATCCCTTCCAGCGGGAGGCCATATTATGTATTGACAACAACCAGTCTGTGCTTGTGTCTGCACACACCTCTGCAGGGAAGACTGTTTGTGCTGAGTAAGTGTCATCAGTAAACAATTTATACTGAGCGATCACATTTTTCCTCATTCCAGTTGATTATATTTGGCTAAAATACAGCTTAGAATTTAAACTCAAACTACAGAAAATGTGATGCTGACCATTAACAGTTTATAGAGACTAGAGATGATACTCACTGTTGTGCTGTATCAGTGCCTTCTTGGTAAATGTACTGACACGCTGGAAAGCAGCACTGAGAGATATTATGAACCCTTATAGCCCACTGATTGGTCATAACACTGAACCAAAACAAAACAGGTATTCTAAACATTTTTCATTTAATATGAACTAAAACATGAAGACTGGTCAGCAATTGTGCTCAGTAGGTGTTCATAGTTCTTTAAAAACATTTTTTAATGGCTTTCTCTGATATCTTTCTGCAGATATGCCATTGCGCTGGCTCTCAGGGAGAAGCAGAGAGTGATCTTCACCAGCCCCATCAAGGCTCTCTCCAACCAGAAGTACAGAGAGATGTACGAAGAGTTTCAAGATGTAGGACTGATGACAGGTGACGTCACCATCAACCCCACTGCCTCTTGCCTCGTCATGACAACAGAGGTAAAAAAAAAAACAATTTTGTGTGGAGTTGAGACATTATTACATTTGCTAGTTATATCCTTATTGAAGAGTGTTTTTTGATGCTGCTCAATCCAGAGGTCGGTCAATGATAAACTTCTTCTCTCCCAGATTCTGAGGAGCATGCTGTACCGAGGCTCTGAGATCATGAGGGAAGTGGCGTGGGTCATCTTCGATGAGATCCATTACATGAGAGACACGGGTGGGTATAAAATAGAAAAGTGATGCAGACGATCTGTAAAATTACAGATCAGTGTGTTTTGAACATCCAAGAATCAAATAGATTTTCTCCTGGGTACAAACAGAATTCATGAGTAAGTTATGGATGGATACTTGACTTGGATCCCTCACACAGTGACTCGCTGCAACATTAGCATTCTATTACAGCATCACATTCAAATTCAGTGAGCCCTTTAGAACAACCCTTTCATTTTATTTCTACAAAGGCAGACTGCATGGCTTTAGGAATGATTTTACACACCTGCAGTAACACCAGAAATGTCTGAATTCAAAGATTAGGTGTGGACCCGCAGCTTTCAATTGTCCATACAATATATGTTCTAAGATTACTAATACGCTGTTGAAAAAAAATTGCACATGGCATGTTGTCAAATTAAATATATATATTTGAAATAGAGAAAACGCAGGAAAGTAAACACGTTAACATGTTTTCTAGCGATTTATTTCCTGCAGTCTGGTGCAGTTGAGGCCGTGAATGAAAATGGAAGCAAAGTAAAACAATTGCATGAAAAATCAGTGTTTATACCTTCTTTGTCGACTTTTCATTTACTGATTTCTCAACAGCAGCACTTAAGGCTCAGTTGAATTAAAGTTTATTTTAACCCTGTGGTTAAAAAAATGTCACATGATGGCTTTTGGTTGGTAACACGTCTCACTGGTCTGTGTATTTCAGAGCGTGGCGTGGTTTGGGAGGAGACCATCATTCTTCTTCCCGATAATGTGCATTATGTTTTCCTGTCAGCCACCATCCCCAATGCCAAACAGTTTGCTGAGTGGATTTGTCACTTACACAAGCAGGTGGGATGTTGTACTGCCTCATAGTATAATTAAAGTTCTTATAATGTCCCTAAGTGAGAAGGTGACAGTTTAAATGAGTGACTTAGGGTAGTTTTTCTTGTTTATTGATTTATGCTTTTCTAATGTCTCCTGTAGCCATGCCATGTGGTCTACACAGACTACCGCCCCACTCCACTGCAACACTATATCTTTCCAGCAGGGGGTGATGGACTCCACCTGGTTGTTGATGAAAATGTAAGGACACAAGGAAACAACACTCATTAGGGCTTTTCAGAAGAAATGAATGAATAACTCTTTGGACTCGGCTTCATCTCCTTCACTGATAATTCTGCTTTACACAAGTGGGGCTAAAATAACAATTTGTGTATTCTAAATCTGG